CCACTCACCTGTAGAGTAAAAAGCAAATTTTGGTTGCGTGGGTGATCCCAACCCGTCGAGCTGCCAACAAGCGGGGCTAGGTTTAGGTCAATGCGACAGGCGTTCCCCGCCTACCGGCAGTCTAGGCGAATCGGGGAGAAACAACTAAAAATATGCAAGCGATGTTTACCCGAGCTTAGCTAGCATTATTCTTCGGAACATATTACGGGCGTTCCCGGCCCGGGAAAGGCGCCGATTTGACCGGGGATAGGGCTTGCGCGTAAGTTGGCCTGAGTAGTGTCTTCGGGCATTTGCTCAGGTAACGGGGGTTCCCGGACCCACCGTGCGCACTTTCCCTTAACAGGGGAGAATTATGATCGGGTTGACCATTGACTACGCCTATGAAATCACACTGCTTAGTTTCAATGTTGCTAAATGCGCTACAAGGAGAAATCTCTCAGGTGTTTGTGGTTACTCGCCGAAGCTTATCTATTAGCTGGCTTCATGATGGCATTCATACAATTCTCTGATGTTTCCTTATGCCCCTTGCCAGTGTGGTTACTATCCATCACTAATGCTACTAAGGTATATGACAGATTTAAGAAATCCATTCAAATGGGATGCGAAGTATTGTGAGTTCATTAATTCGTTAAAAAGATGATGTTCAATTATCAATAGATTTTAAGGTCTTCGGCCTTCCCTTTAATAATTGAACGATTTCTAGAGCTTTATCTCAGATTGAGATGAATGGCTGCGGTTTAGCAAATGCATTAGGGTCTCACATCTCCCTTAGGAACTAGCACATGTTTACTTGGACCCTGAATAAGCGGAGTCGCGGAGATTAAAAGCGAGGCTCTTCTAGGATATCAGTTTCCATTCATTTCATTGAAGCTTGCTAGAGATGAGAGAACCAAGATAAGAAATATGTAAACTATGGTAGCTAATTGAAAGCCTCAAGTAACTTTGTGTATCAGCATGATGTTGTGTCATTAGGGAACGAATATGGTCATTACGTTTGTGGATCGCTGGAGTCGCTGGGGTTTTGTATGATGCTTTAGAAAACCAGCTCCACGGTATATTTTCAGAATTTGTTCATTTCGTGCGATTTTGAACTGTTCGATTGGTCTAATCTATGAAATCTCATGCGAAGGATAATCTTTATTTGAGTATCCTTCTGCTTTGTTATAGTTTCGGTATATTTTGCGTTTTCGTGCTTCATTATTGTACCTATGATGCTTACCTATGTCAGTGTATTGTAATACCTATGTTATTGTACCTATGTTAGTATATTCATGCTGTCATTGTTGCTTCATTATTGTACCTATGATGATATTTGATGTTTGGCTGGCTATTGTTAGTGTATTTATCGTACTGTTGCTCAAGTTCATTACTGTCGCGCAACGGATAACGAAGGGAGTGCTGTTTGCAGTGGTTTGGCGGCGTTTCAGAAGTGAGACAAAACAGTTAGGTTTGTTGAGGTCCGCACAAACCACCGGGATAGCTTCTGCATCGATAGGATCAGGCTCAACGTTGAGAATTCTTAAGCTGGGATTGAGCTTATGCTTACTTTGAAAATGGGTGAAATTTCAAAGGATGGAAGCTCCGTGGCGCGACAACTGTATAAATATTTTTTCCGTGTGTTGCCAGTGGCTACATCAGCATCGAGATGAAGGGGTTGACGGAATGTCATTATCCGTCGATTTTAATGTGTTACGAATTGTTGTGGCCAATTGCTGTGTTACGAATTGAAATACCGATTTGAG